AGAACGGATGTGATTGGTCAGTTAGTTAATATTCCCAGTGCTTTTTTCTGGGGGGTACGCATACCACTAAACATTTTGTGAATCTTTGTACTTTTGTCCATTTACTGTATTTATTTCCCCTGTTTTGAACTAGAAAATGGTGATTTTTTTTTAGTCAAAATGAGAGTACACCTAAACATTTTTTTAAAGAAAAAAAGCACTATTTTTATTGTTTTACTTGATCTGGGGCGGTGGGGGGTGGGAGCAGCTGTCCCTCCCTGCCTTCCCTTGGCTATGCCCATGGCATGTACCACTCTGGCAAGACAGTCCGCGGGCAGGTAGGGTCTCAGCCTGCGTACCAGATGGAGCTGGTAAACAGCTGCCCTGGACTCAGAACTGACCTGCGCCTCCATGGACAGCTGTGAGTCCAAAATGACTCCCAGGCTGCGCACCTGGTCTTTCAGGGGCACAGTTACCCCATTCAGGAGCAGGGAATCCTCCCACACCTGCCCGCCCCCTGTCCCCCAAAAACAGTACTTCTGTCTTGTCGGGGTTCAGCCTTAATCCTTCTCAATAGGAACATCACAACATAAGAAGGGGCCAATGGATCATCTTCAGAACCCAGCACAATTCTTTACTGTGCTCACCAAACCACCATTTCTGCTAGAGGCACAGTTCCTCTTCTAGGTCTTTAACTGGAAAGATGGGATTATAAAGGATGTTAACAGACCTTGGGAGGGAGGATTTGTATATAACCTCTGGGAGAAGGAGCTGCTATTGCTCTCACTGCTGCAGAAAAGGAACCATTTAAATACTTCCTTAAAAGCCCTCATTTGTAACGCCCCCCCCAGTCCTGTCTAAGGTATGTGAGGTGAGAGAGACACCTAGTGGGCACCTGCAAGAATAACACCTTAGAATGCCTTTCCTTGTGGACAGATGTATGGAAGCGAGAGCTGGACCATAAAGAAGGTTGATCTCCGAAGAATTGATGCTTTTGAATTATGGTGCTGGAGGAGACTCTTGACGAATTAAGTTCTTAACCCGAGGTACCACTGTACTCTATTCTGAACTTAAAAATGAAAGGCGTAATGCTGGTGGTCAACAAAAGAGGTTTAAAGACTCACTCAAGGCAAATTTTTAAAAATGTAGTATGGACACTGACAACTGGGAAACACTGGCCTGCAAGAGCTCCAATTGGAGAACAGCCTCTACCAAAGGTGTCGTGGGTTTTGAAGACACTCGAACTCAGGACACAAGGGAGAAACGTGCAAAGAGGAAGGCACGCTTGGCAAACCTTCACCGTGGTCAACTCCCGCCCAGAAACCTATGTCCCCACTGTGGAAGGATGTGTGGATCCAGAATTGGCCTCCACAGGCACTTATGGACTCATTGTTAAGACCGTTTTTATGGAAGACAATCCTACTTGGCTATGAGGGATCACGAAAGAAAGAAAGAAAGAAAGAAAGAAAGAAAGAAAGAAAGAAAGAAAGAAAGAAGAGCTTTCTTCTATCCTATCTCCTTCAACATTCAGAGCTGTTGGATGTCTGCAAATTCTAGTGTTCGGAGAGAGAGTGAAAAACTTTTCTCTATCTCCTTTCTACACTCCGTGAATTTATAGGCTTCTTTCATATTGCTTCTTACTTGCCTTTTGTCTAAATTTAAAAGTCCACAATGCTGCAGCTTTTACTCTTAGGGGAGTTCCATCCACCCCCTTGATCATTTAGACCACCTTTTCCCGAACCTTTCCCGAACTCGAGAAAAAAACACCAGACCTCTGGTTCCAGTTCCAGGGACTATTGTCGATGCACAAGATCTAATTGTCCACCCAGCATGCGCCTAAATGCAGCCCGTGTTCAACCTTCCACACCTTGATGTACCAGCTCATGGCAAGGGGCTGCCTCTTCCTTCAAAGCCACAGCCCACAAAAGCTGTGATAAGCTCTATGAGCTCAGGATGTGAAACAGAACAAAGACAACTGTGTCTCCCACACTCACTCGCAAGCACAGCCCTTTCTCTTTGCATGAGGACCTAGGCGCTGTCTCAGCCCACTCTAACAGCCAGCACAGGCCACGGGGCAGGAGAAAACAAATGCATTTGCTATTAGTTCCTCTCCAACAAGACTCTAGGGATGTGGGTGGTGCTGTGGGTTAAACCACAGAGCCTAGGACTTGCAGATCAGAAGGTCGGTGGTTCAAATCCCCGCGACGGGGTGAGCTCCTGTTGCTTGGTCCCAGCTCCTGCCAACCTAGCAGTTCGAAAGCACGTCAAAGTGCAAGTAGATAAATAGGTACCGCTCCGGCGGGAAGGTAAACGGCATTTCGGTGCACTGCTCTGGTTCGCCAGAAGTGGCTTAGTCATGCTGGCCACATGACCCGGAAGCTGTACGCCGGCTCCCTCGGCCAATAAAGCGAGATGACCACCGCAAACCCAGAGTCGTTCGTGACTGGACCTAATGGTCAGGGGTCCCTTTACCTTTACCTTTACCTTTACCTTTAAGACTCTGCCAGGTGGAACCAGCCACAGAGAGGAGGCTCAGTCTTTTGAACCAACACAAGCTGTTGGTTCGAATCCCTGGTGGGATCTCCAGCTACAGGGGAAAGCGGGGGACACGCTTTTATGGGAATGGCCAAAGCTTAATAATAATAATAATAATAATAATAATAGTAATAATAAAATAATTTATTATTTATACCCCATCCATCTGGCTGGGTATCCCCAGCCGCTCTGGGCAACTTCCAGCAAAACATTAAAATACAATAATTCATCAAATATTAAAAGCTTCCCTAAACAGGCCTTCTAAACAGATGTCTTCTAGAAGTCAGGTAGTTGTTTATTTCTTTGACATCTGGTGGGAGGGCATTCCACTAGGTGGGCACCACTACCGAGAAGGCCCTCTGCCCAGTTCCCTGTAACCTCACATCTCGCTGGGAGGGAACCGCCAAAAGGCCCTCGGAGCTGGACCTCAATTTCTGGGCAGAACAATGGGGGTGGAGATGCTCCTTCAGGTATACTGGGCCGAGGTCAGCAACAATACTTTGAATTGTGCTCAGAAACGTACTGGGAGCCAATGTAGGTATTTCAGGACTGGTGTTATATGGTCTTGGCGGCCGCTCTCAGTCACCAGTCTAGCTGCCACATTCTGGATTAGTTGTAGTTTCCGGGTCACCTTCAAAGGTAGCCCCACGTAGAGTGCATTGCAGTAGTCCAAGCGAGAGATAACCAGAGCATGCACCACTCTGGCAAGACAGTCCACTGGCAGGTAGGGTCTCAGGTAGGGGTAAAGCATGTGCTTTGCAGAAGGCCCTGGATTCCTACATTGCAGCAAGTTTGGGCTAGATGACTCTTGACGTGCCCTACAAGTCTACAATTCTATGATTCTGTAATCCCTGCCATCTCCAGGTCAGGCAGGGAGAGACCCCTCTCTGAAATTCCTGGAGAGTCGCTGCCATCAGTGTGGACAATTCTGAGCTAGATAGAGCAACTGTCTGGCTCAGTTTAAGGTAGATTCCTAAGACCTATGTTGCAATGCAAAGGTCCCTGATTCGGGTCCATCTTATTGTTTCCAACCCTCAGCCCTGTGTAGGTTTGGAACTGTACTGGCATCCCTAGCTGGGGGAGAGGAAAAAGCGATGTTGTGTCACACAAGCTCTCAGCGACGTCACAGACACTGCCCAGTACGTCCCCACGGCACAAATACAGTCTTACAGGTTGCATTTTTTTCGGTTACGGACACGCCAAAACCCGGAAGTACCTGGAACGGGTTACTTCTGGGTTTCAGCGGTCACGCATGCTCAGAAGCGCCGAATCGCAACCTGTGCGTGCGCACACGCGGCGCTGCAGGTTGCGAACGCTGCGGGTTGCGAACGTGCTTCCCGCACGGATCATGTTCGCAACCCAAGGGTCCACTGTAACAACCAGAAACCCCACAGCACTCCCGAAACTGCAACGGCCTTGCAAAGGCGGGAACTCCACTTAACCAGTGACAAAATATTTGCAGTCTGACCAGGTGCAACCGAGCTGAGTTAAGAGTAGCTTGGGATCACAGCACACAGGCCAGAGCAAGATGTGATTTCATGTTTCTTTAAGTCAGTGGTTCCTAATGTGGGTGCAAGTAACCCCTGGGAAGCAGTGGGATTACCCAGGGGGCACTAAGAAGCAGGGGGGACAGGGGAACACTGAAGATGTAAGTGATTATTAGGAAGGAGGAGCCTGCAGGCATATGGCATCAAGGTTTTGACCAGCGGAGGTGAGATCCTTCTTTGCCCTCATGTGCCCTTTCCTTATGCCTGATTATAGATCCAGTCTTGGCAGTTTAAGTTATGGTTACCAGATTTTTTTCAATGAATCCGGGGACACTTTCTTTTCTTTTTTTTTTTTTTTTGAAGCTGAGTAGAACAGGGAGTCAGTAGTGGGGATGGTGAGGCAAAAGACCCTGAGCCCAAGCACACATGCATATCGTATAGAAGAAGAAGAAGAAGAGTTTGGATTTGATATCCCGCTTTATCACTACCCAAAGGAGTCTCAAAGCAGCTCACAATCTCCTTTCCCTTCCTCCCCCACAACAAACACTGTGTGAGGTGAGTGGGGCTGAGAGACCTCAAAGAAGTGTGACTGGCCCAAGGTCACCCAGCAGCTGCATGTGGAGGAGCGGAGACGCGAACCCAGTTCACCAGCTTACGAGCTCACTGCTCTTAACCACTACACCACACTAAAGGTGCAAAGCCCTTCTTTTGCACCCTGTGCAACATAAATGCACAGAGTTTTTTAGAAACTTCACAGCGGCTGCCCGCCTGCAACTCCCAAGCCTCCCCCGATCAGTCAAAGTGGGCAGGAGATCTGTACCGCTGGACGTCTCCAGTACAGCACACAAGACACATCATATGGGGACTTCCAGAGAGGAAAAATGGCGGGCGCCATGGCCGCTAGCAGCTCCTGAAGCCAGCCAGAGCCAACTGTGCTACCAGGCTGGCTCTGGGCTGCTGAGGCTGCCACTGCCACGTTTCCCGGGGGCAGATTTGCAAATCTGGGGACATTCTGGGGACGGAATTTGCCCGGGGACAGATTTGCAAATCCGGGGGCTGTCCCCTGGAACTGGGGAAATCTGGTAACCCTAGTTTAAGTTATTGTTTAATCGGTAAGGACGAGTTTGGGACAGGCAACGGAGTCCGATCTAAAGGGCATTTGAGTCTCCTCTTCTCAAATCCTCTCCTTTAGGACTGTCCCGGAATAAAATCCATCTCAGCTCCTGGTCTCACAGGGGACCTTAGAACGGGGTGAGGACCAAAGGCGGCTGTAGAGGAACAGAAATGCCCAACTGTCCAGCAAAGTCTGCTTCAGAAGCGAGTCCACACACCCCTCTTGTCAGCGTCCCACAAGGGTTGTTTTTTTACAGAAGTCTCCAGCAGCTCTGTCACTGCTCAGGAAGAAGTGGGCTGAGCTTCGTACTGTGCTTCCGTGGCCGTGTAAAAGTCCTCGAGGGTGGACTGGAGGTATTCAAACGTGGGTCTCTCTTCGGGATTATTTTTCCAGCATTTCAACATGACTGTATAGAGTTCAGCTGGACAGTTTTCCGGACGGGGCATCCGGTAACCCTTCTGTAGATGTTGGATGACTTCAGGATTGGTCATAGCTGTGGAAAGGAGAGAAAGAATTGATACTGAAAAATGTTGTCTCATCCCTTAAAGGTAAAGGTAAAGGGACCCCTGAGCATTAGGTCCAGTCATGGCCGACTCTGGGGTTGCGGCGCTCATCTCGCTTTATTGGCCGAGGGAGCCGGCGTACAGCATGTGGCCAGCAACGCATGGAAACACTTTTTTTACCTACCCGCCAGAGCGGTACCTATTTATCTACTTGCACTTTGACGTGCTTTCGAACTGCTAGGTTGGCAGGAGCAGGGACTGAGCAACAGGAGCTCACCCCGTCGCGGGGATTTGAACCGCCAACCTTCTGAACAGCAAGCTGTAGGCTCTGTGGTTTAACCCACAGCGCCACCCGTGTCCCATAGTCTCATCCCTTACTTGCCCTATAACCAATCACTGTGTTCGGTGGGAGAGGACCTCCCATCTTAGCACGAGGTCCATACTGTATGGTATAGGAGCAGGGCCTTACTTGTGATGGCACCTACTCACTCACGTATTTTGAACTGATGTAAGATAGGAAAATTAAATTAGATGAATATATTAAAACATGAAGGAATGGCGGATAAGTTAAATGAACCTTGGAAGGGGAGGGAGGGAAGTCAATGACTGTGTGGTATAATAAAAGATGTTTAATTTGAAATGGAAAATTTGAAAATTTAATTAAAATTATTAATAAAGAAAATAGAATGAAGGCTTGCTAAAACATCAGCGGAGTGAATGGATAATGGATAATCAATAATCAATAATCAGTAAATGATCTTTGGCTCAGAGTAACAAATGATGCTCTAATGCAAACTACCGTACCAGGATAGGGGCATCTTCCATAGGTGATGATTTCAGTTAGGAGAACTCCAAAAGACCAGACATCGGATTTGATAGTGAAAACTCCATAGTTGATTGCTTCTGGTGCTGTCCATTTGATAGGAAATTTGGCACCTGTCAAGAAAGGGTAAATTCATGTGTTTTCGTTGTTCTTATTGATTTCAAATGATAAATATGACAAAGAAAGAGAAAAGACGAGATGGAAAGGGAGGGGGGAAACCCACCATCTTAGTTTAAACTTATATGTGACGTTAACGTATGAGTGCTGGAGGTGAAATAGTTAAGTAAGTTACCCAATCAGAACCCAGGGGGGTGGAGTCAGAGGGACTATAAAACCAGCTCTGGGAGGGGATAAAGGAGAGTTCATTGGGAGTTGGGTGGTTGGTTGGAGTGGGATAGTCTGTGGGTAGGTTGAATTAGTGTAGCGAAATAAGCTGAGTCAGGGACAGTTAGGAGCTAGGAAGACAAATAAAAATCTGAGAGGTGGTTTAGTGAGTGAGAGCAGGTAGCGGAAGTTATAGGTCTGGATAGGCACCCCATGATTGTAATTGACAGACCGTTTATGAAACCACATGCTTGTTAAACTGCAATAAATAAACAAAAGTTTATGTTCCAATTTAAACCTGACTGGTCTCAGTATTGTACCAGGTAGGGCAGCGAGAAATAAAGTGGTGGCACAGGGATCAATAGACGGTGAAACAACCGGGGACCCTGTGTGATCACCACAATATACTGTAAATCAGTGGTTTTCAACCAGTGTGCTGTGGTACCCTAGGGAGCCTTGAATGATGGTCAGGGGTGCTGCAGTCGACACTGGCCTCTGTCCCTCTTTCCTTTCCTCCCTCCTCTGATGAACCTCTCCCATCTCTAACTCCCAAAGGCTTGCACAGATGTTTGTTGCAGCAGCCCTGGCTACAAGCTTTGCAGGCGAATGGTTCCTCTGGGGTTGGCCAGGGGAGAGGAGAGGAGAGACAGGGAAGCTGAGGAAACACTCCATAAAGACCCCCTCAGGGGTGTGGCACATGAGGTCACCACCTTGCTGAAGCAAGGATGGGAGACCACATAGGAATGATGAAGCAGGACACCCGGGGTTCTTGATGGGACAACGGCAGGATATAAATGTAGGGAAATAAAGTAAATAGATTTATCAGAGGGAATAGGATAATATTGTACAGGTGGACCTCACTCAGCTAGGCTCAGTGCTCAGGCAGGAACATGTAGGAGATGATGATGATGGTGATGATGATAATAATATATTTATTTCTTTATTTATACCCCGCCCATCTGGCTGGGTTTCCCCAGTCACTCTGGCCAGCTCCCAACAGAATACCGTATTTTTCGCTCTATAAGACGCACCGTCCCATAAGGCGCACCTAGTTTTTTTGGGGGGAAATAAAGGGAAAAAATTTTATTTCCCCCCCAGGCACAGCTTCCCCCGACCCGAGCCCCTAGAACAGGCAACTCTCTGCAAGCCGTGGGAGCCCGGCGCTGGGCTCCCGTGCCTTGCGGAGAGCTGCGCAAGTCTGGGTGCGCTGAGCTCAGCGCGCCCAGCCTTCGAAATCCAAGCAACTCTCCACAAGCCGTGGGAGCCTGGCGCTGGGCTGCCGTGCCTTGCGGAGAGCCGCACGAAGTCTGGGCGTGCTGAGCTCAGTGCGCCCAGCCTTCGGCATGCAGGCAACTCTCTGCAAGCCGCGGGAGCCCGGCGCGGGCTCCCACGGCTTGTGGAGATCTGCGCAAAGCCTGGAGAGCAAGAGGGGTCGGTGTGCACCGACCCCTCTCGCTCTCCAGGCTTCAGCGAAAGCCTGCATTCGCCCCATAGGACGCACACACATTTCCCCTTCATTTTTGGAGGGGGAAAAGTGCGTCCTATGGGGCAAAAAATACGGTAATTAAAATGTGATAAAACATCAAACATTAAAAGCTTCCCTAAACAGGGCTGCTTTCATATGTCTTCTAAAAGTTGTGTAGTTCTTTATCTCCTTGACATCTGCTGGGAGGGCATTCCACAGGGCGGGTGCTACCACCGAGAAGGCCCTCTGCCTGGTTCCCTGTAACCTCGCTTCTTACAATGAGGGAACCGCCAGAAGGCCCTCGGAGCTGGACCTCAGGTCTGGACAATGGGGGTGGAGATGACAGTGACCAGAGATTTGGGGGTGACAGGTATAAAAAATGGTGACACACTCTGAGCTGATGGTGTCTCCCTTTTAGCTCGGGAAAGGATTTGGGCTGATTTGTATTCTCTGGTAAAAAGTCTCAGGAAGCCTTTTTCAGGGTTAGTTGGAGGGGCCCAATCTCTAGGGGAAAACAGGATGCATTCCTGGACTTCATCAATTCATACTACAAATAGGGGTGGGGGGAATTTTACATTGAAATGCTCCCCCATCAAAAAAATAAAGAAGAGTTTGGATTTGATATCCCGCCTTTCACTCCCTTTCAGGAGTCTCAAAGCGGCTAACAATCTCCTTTCCCTTCCTCCCCCACAACAAACACTCTGTGAGGTGAGTGGGGCTGAGAGACTTCAAAGAAGTGTGACTAGCCCAAGGTCACCCAGCAGCTGCATGTGGAAGAGCGGAGACGCAAACCCGGTTACCCAGATTACGTGACTACCGCTTTTAACCACTACACCACACTGGCAACACTTTCCTGCACATGGAAAGCTAGCACATAAGAAACAGCACAATTTCCTTATGCTAGTTTTTTCTATGACCCTGATATCTGTTTTCTGGTCAGTCGCTTCCAGTTCAGACTCCATTAGCACAAATGTGAAATTCGGATGTTTGTCCCAGCATGGAACTAAATAATATCCACCCCATCACCGCTAAGACTACCAGGGTGTTTTGAACTAAGCACCATCACTAAAGACAAGAGGTCAGATCTATGAAAGTCTTGAGTCAGCAAGCACTTATTCTAGAAAAGGCTACCATTTTGCTCCCACCTGGCTGATGCACATAGAAGACAACCTATCATTATGCTTCCTTTACCACAAAGCCCTTTTATATGCCTGTTGTCTTTGTCCATGGAGTTTTCTTGGCAGGGATACTGGAGTGGCTTGCTGGTTCCTGCTCCAGGTGGGTCATGTTTGGTCAAAACTCTCCACTATGACCTGTCCATCTTGGGTGGCCCTGCACGCCATAGCTCATAGCTTCTCTGAGTTATTCAAGCCCCTTCGCCATGGCAAGGCAGTGATCCATGAAGACAGGAGTGCCTGGCGTGCTCTGGTCCATGGGGTCACGAAGAGTTGGACACGACTAAACGACTAAACCACAAGGCCCTAAGCGTCATACCAACCTTCTTTTGCGAGGTACTCATTCTCTATGATCCTAGCCAAGCCAAAGTCTGCAACTTTGCAACAGAGGGTCTCTGAGACGAGGATGTTGGCTGCCCTGAGGTCCCTGTGAATGGAGTTCATTCTCTCAATGTACGCCATCCCTTCAGCGACCTGTAAGGAAGAAGGAAAATAATAGAATACAACTGCATGGAAATCACAGAGAAGGGTGCCTCTGTGGCTGATAGGGATGAGTGAATTTGGCTATTCTGGTTTCTCTCAGTTTCTCACTTTCCCAATCCTAAGGTCATTGTTCCAGATTTCCACATCGACGTGCCATTTATTTATTTATTCTTTTTAAAGCCCTCATGAAAATTTATTAGCAGTGCATTGTGAAATTGCTTTGAGATGCTTCATAGGAAACAATTCATAATAGCAGTGGTAATAATAACTTTTTTTAAAAAAAACCCAACAACGACCTGTATATTTTTTACAAGCATTTTTTTCTTTTTAAAAAATCCATTTTTGATGTTATTTCCACTAATGTGGTCACCCTAATATATGGATTTTGGTTCACATTATTTGGCTGGAGAGCTGCACTGAAAAATTCATAGAAGTGTGTTTTGGTTCACACATTGTTTTGAAAAGTGTGAATGAGGTAAATACATCCTTAAACTGAATCATATTTCTACCACAACCTTATCTGGAAATACCAGGGTTTTCATCCCCACCAATACGGACCAGGGACCCTTACCAGAAGCCTGTATTATCAACTGTTAGGGGGACAAAAGAAATAGTACCACCCTCTCTCCAACCCACATACAAACACCAACCCTCCATCCTCTTTTAAAGCCATCTAAACTTGGTGGCAAGGGATGCGGGTGGCGCTGCGGATTAAACCACAGAGCCTAGGACTTGCCGATCAGAAGGTCAGCGGTTTGAATCCCCCGTGACTGCTCCTGCCAACCTGCTCCTGCCAACCTAGCAGTTCGAAAGCACGTCAAAGTGCAAGTAGATAAATAGGTACCGCTCCGGCGGGAAGGTAAACGGCGTTTCCGTGCGCTGCTCTGGTTTGCCAGAAGCGGCTTAGTCCTGCTGGCCACATGACCCGGAAGCTGTACGCCGGCTCCCTCGGCCAATAAAGCGAGATGAGCGCCGCAACCCCAGAATCGGCTCCGACTGGACCTAATGGTCAGGTGTCCCTTTACCTTTACCTTTAAACGTGGTGGCTACCACGACCTCTTGAGGAAGAGAATTCTGTACTTTAGCTATGTGATTTGTGAAAAAGTACTCTGCATTGTTTGGCCTGCATCTTTCAACATTGTGCTTTGCTGGAGGCCCCTGCTGAGTTCTAGGATTCTTATTCTCTGTCTAACATAAGAACCTGGAGTCAGTCCTTATTAGCTCCAGTACCAGAGACAGTATGCCTCTATATCCTGGTTGCTGGGGTTTGTAAGTAGGAGGGTGCTACTGATCTCAAGCTCTGCTTATGGGCTTCCCAGAGGCAACTGGTGGGCCACTTTGGGAAAGAAGGTGCTGGACTTAGGGATGTAAGAAGGAATCATTGCCCCACCCCCTGTATTCTTCTCATGCAGCACCGCTTCCATTCCACTGCAGTTTCAGCTTCCTCCAAAAAGTACATTATTCGTCTCGCCATCCACTGCTGTGAAATCTGGTGGCTCATATAATTAATTACATGAATTACACTGTTATTACTATTGTGCCCCATTCCTTTCAACACAATGCAAGTTGAGGGGAAACGATTGTGTATGGTTTGCGGAAAGAAAGCAACAACAACTATGAATACTGATCGCATTCTCCAGACTTATTTCCATTTCAGACATGGGATGATTACGTGAACACTGGCAAATTTTGCTCCCATTTCTGCTTTCGTATTAATTATTCAAAATCCCAAGCTGGGTTATGATGTTGTTGTTGTTGATAATTTGTTGTTCTTGTTGTTATGCCGACCACCTGACTGGGTTGCCCCAGACCTTTGGTCTGATCCAGTTTGGGTCCTCTTACATCCTTAACATACGACACAAGACATGCATATGTTTAATAATAATAATACAGTGGTGCCTCGCAAGACGAAATTAATTTGTTCCGCAAGTTTTTTCTTCTTGCGAGTTTTTCGTCTTGCGAAGCACGGTTTCCCATAGGAATGCATTGAAAATCAATGTGTTCCTATGGAGACCGTCCGGGGACAGAGGGGAAGCGCTGCACGCCTTCCCCTCTGTCCCCGGACCTGTTTTAAAGCAAGGGGCAGCGGGGAGAAGATTGCTTCTCCCCGTTGCCTGCCCCGCAATCTCCGGGGACAGAGGGGAAGGCGTGCATGCCTTCCCCTCTGTCCCTGGACCTGTTTAAAGCAAGGGAAGGGGCAGCGGGGAGAATCGCTTCTCCCCGTTGCCGCCCCTTGGTTCAAAAGGGGTCCGGGGACAGAGGGGAAGGCGCGCTGCGCTTCCCTGCTATCCCCGGAGCTTGCGGGGCAAGCTTCGTTTTGCGAAGCAAGCCCATAGGGAAATGCGTCTTGCGAAGCGGCTAAGAAAACGAAAAACTCCTTCGTCTAGCGAGTTTTTCGTCTTCCGAGGCGTTCGTCTTGCGGGGTACCACTGTAATAATAATAATAATAATAATAATAATAATAATAATTTATACCCCACCCATCTGGGCAGCTCCCAACTGAATATTAAAAATATGATACAGCATTAAACATTAAAAACTTCCCTAAAAACTTCTGCCATCAACAGAGCAACACGTAAGAGAGAAATCCCTCCAACCCCAGCCTTTAACCAGCGCAGAACAAATTGTATATAAAGAGGGTGGTCGAGAGACGGCAAGATCCTCTTTTGTTTAGTTCTGCCTCAAAGGGCGCAACAATTTTCCAGACCGCAGAGATTTTGTGGTAGGTTTTTTGTTTGTTTTTTGCCACCTTGCATCTTTCTTGTGGTTTTGAACAGGATGTGAAGATACATTTTCCACAAATATTCGACACGTTCAAGCTTTCAGCTCAAATGCCGCTCGCCTCAGTGGAAAATGGGTGTCGCTTCCTGTCCTGATGTTAATGAGATAGATGGCTTGTTTCCTCTCAGCTCACACAAGCAGAGGGGAGGGAGGGAGAGAGGGACTGACCACAGGACGGCGTATACACCGATAACTTTCTATTTGCAGATTCCGCCTACGCGTTCTGCGCCCGAGCGGTCAGCTCATGCAAACAACACCGTTCTGACAATACTTGCCACCGGACGTTGTTGCCGGACACACTGCATTGCACCTTACTGTCTATTCAAGGACTGAAGGACTCGCTCCAAACCTTGCCATTCACCCAAATTGCAGGGTATACTCCCTAACTCCTCCCACCCAATGAAATCCAAATGACGGCATTAAATTTATGTGCAGTTCTGACCTCTGAGTTTGCATTTCTTTTACGGAAATTATGGGGGGGGGACATCTTTAAAGTTAAATGTTACAAATATTACGCCTGAATGTATCCTTTCAACTTGACAGCTCAGGGAAGTTACCTAGCTTTAAAAATAATATAAAATCTACTCCTGTTGCCAGTTTCCTCCATTCCAAAGCTATTTTCCCCTTGAAAGCAACTCCAGGAAGTTACCAGAGGTGACAATTGCTGAGCTGATTGTTGGCCAGGTGTTATGTACTGAGTTGAATAGTATCCAAAATGCAGCAGTCTGATTGGTCCTAGAACAATAGGATTCAGAATGCAGCAGTCTGATTGGTCCTAGAACAATGCAGCAGTATGATTGGTCTGCAGGAACCACCCAATCCAGCTCCAGATGGAAGGGAATCTACAACCTGATTGGCCTACAGGAGAATTCCAGAATTAGCCAATCACGTGCAGCCCATTGTGTAAATAATGTATATAAAGCAGATACTTTGGGGAAACTTTCATTTCCTCCTCACCACTATGAGCTGAATAAAGAGCATGAAATCCACTCTCGACTCTGAGTATATTTCACCAAGGAAAGCTTAATCCCATCACCAGATTTGCCAAGGGGCCAGACATGCAAAGGAAGTTCTATTGTACTTTGGGTGGTGGGACTTCAGAGGTGTTTGCCTATGCTAATCCTATACCTGAGTCTTGCCCTGCTATATCTGTTTATGCTAATCTTGTACCAAGGACTTGTCTGGACATGTTGCCAAGGTTAAACTAGTTTAACCCTTGTCTACCCCTCCCCTTTTGTGACATGTCAGTGATGTAGCAATGAAGCTGTACGAACTGTATTCTGGGATATGGTGGGAAAGTTTTAAAAGTGATTGTCACCCCATCCTCGGGGTTCAAATTTCCTCTTTGAACCTGTTGCGCAATAAACTTTGGCCTACAGCTATTTGCTCCAATTGATGGCTGGAATCCTTCCTTTATTCCGCAGGGACCCGCGGGCTCTGCCTGACCAGCTGGGTGACTGAGCAGTCTCACACCTAGATTTTTCTGTAACAATTTCTAAGTTTGCTTCTCCTAAACTCCAGAATATCCCTTGCTATATACTTTGCTCAACACATTCTCCTCTCGGAAGTGCAGGCTTCAAAGAAAGCAACATTCAGGATGGCCAGAGAGCCACATGCGTAGCTCTCAAGTTTGGGGAAGTATCAAGACCTTTTTCAATTACAAGGTTTAAGGCGAATCATTCCACTCACCTGGGCTGAGGAGTCTATAAGTTTGGGGAGAGTCAACTTCCTTCCGTCCTCTGATTTCAAGAAATCCAGCAAGCAGCCTGAAAAGGAGGAGAAATCAAGATTATTCACTTCCCAAAGACCTTTCAATGTGCAATGGTACTCGATAAAGTCTCCCATGTTTTTAATGTCAAATCCTTTTTAAAGAAAGTAATAGAGGAGAATATTCCTAATGTACATTAGGGTAATAAAGCAAGCAACAAATTCTAGTTTGAGGACCTTAACAGATTTTTTTTTCTATGCATTGATGTTGTTGTTGTTGTTGTTGCTGCTGCTAGTATACTGTCCTATACCTGTAGATCTCAGGGCGGTTTACAACATAAAATTGCAATATAAAAAACACAAAATATAAAACAGAGATGAATGAATTAGATTATTTATCCTACTGAAATACCCATAAAGGACATCTGAAAGATATTTGGTCTACTTATTGGCTAACCCAAACAAAATCGTAAGAGAAACAGTCTTCCCTGTTCTGCTGCAAAGACCTTTAAATTAATTGCATCTTGGTTTGTCCCTATCCTTAGATCAGAGCTTTTTAAACTGTGTGTCTCAAGACGTTAGTGTGTCAGCTGCAATGTGTAGGTGTGTTATGTAAACGCTACCTGTGCTCCTGCCTGATCTGGAAAGGGGTTACAGTGCTGCCTCGCAAGACGAAATTAATTCGTTCCGCAAGTTTTTTGTTCTTGCGAGTTTTTCGTCTGGCGAAGCACGGTTTCCCATAGGAATGCATTGAAAATCAATTAATGCATTCCTATGGAAACCGCTTGCCAGGCTGGCGGTGCGGAGAAGGGCTTTTCTCCCCACCGCAAGCCTTCAGGACAGGTACGGGAACAGAGGGGAAGGCCCGCAGCGCTTCTCCTCTGTTCCCGGGGCTTGCGGTGGGAGGAGGGTTTTTCCTCCCCACCGCCAACATTCAGAACAGCATTCTGAATGTTGGCGGTGGGAAGGAAAACCCTCCTCCCGCTGCCAGGCTTCGGAGCAGCCTTCCGAAGCCTGGCGGCTGGAGGAGGTCTCTCCGCCCCGCCGCCAGGCTTCGGAGCATCCTTCCGAAGCCTGGCAGCTGGAGGAGGTCTCTCCGCCCCGCTGCCAGGCTTCGGAGCAGCCTTCCAAAGCCTGGCGGCGGGGCGGAGAGACCTCCTCCCGCCGCCAGGCTTCAGAGCATCCTTCCAAAGCCTGGCGGCAGGAGGAGGTCTCTCTGCCCCGCCGCCAGGCTTCGGAGCAGCCTTCCGAAGCCTGGCGGCTGGAGGAGGTCTCTCCGCCCCACCGCCAGCCTTCGGAGGAGGTCCGAGGACAGTGGGGAAGATGCGCTGCGCTTCCCCGCTGTCCCGGAGATTTCCCTATGGGCTTTCGTCTTGCGAAGGAAGCCCATAGGGAAATTCGTTTTGCGAAGCGCCTCCAAAACAGAAAACCCTTTCGTCTAGCGGGTTTTCCGTCTTGCGAGGCGTTCGTCTTGCGGGGCACCACTGTAGTTCAAACTCTGGTTTGCTAGTACAGTGGTACTTCAGAAGTTGAATGGAATTAGTTCCGGAAGTCCGTTTGACTTCCAAAACATTCGGAAACAAAAGCGCGGCTTCCGATTGGCTGCAGGAAGCTCCTGCAGCCAATCAGAAGCCCCGTTAGCCCCGTTGGACATTTGCTGTTCCAAAGAACTTTTGCAAACCGGAACACTCACTTCCGGGTTTATGGCTTTCAGGAGCCAAAACGTCCGAGTACCAAGGCGTTTGCCAACCAAGATATGACTGTACAAATGAATTACTGTGTCATGAAATGATGTGTGTCTAAAAAGTGTGTGACCAACATGAAAAGTTTGGAAAGCTCTGCCTTAGATTTTATATAAGCACAATGCATTTTTAACTTGGCATATGTTTGAAATGGTATGATTTGGGTGTTTTAATTTTCCTATATTGGCAAGAAGGTATTGACTGAAATCAAGGAGACCCAGATTCTGCATTCCAGTGCGGATCAATACAACTGGTTGAGATCCGAAGGGAGTCGGTTACCGTTGGCCATGTATTCCGTTACGATGTAAATCGGCTGCTGGGTGACCACGGCGTGCAGACGAACCAGCTTGCTATGCTGAAGCCTCTTCATCAAGTTGGCTTCGGCCAAGAAGGCATCTGGAGCCATGCTGCCTTCTTTCAGGGTCTTCACTGCCACCTTCACATTATTCTTGTAATAACCTGTAAAGGTAAAGGGACCCCTGACCATTAGGTCCAGTTGTGGCCGACTCTGGGGTTGCGGCGCTCATCTCGCTTTATTGGCCAAGGGAGCCGGCGTACAGCTTCCGGGTCATGTGGCCAGCATGACTAAGCCGCTTCTGGAGAACCAGAACAGCACATGGAAACACAGTTTACCTTCCTGCCGGAGTGGAACCTATTTATCTACTTGCACTTTGATGTGCTTTCGAACTGCTAGGTTGGCAGGAGCAGGGACCGAGCAACGGGAGCTCACCCTGTCACGGGGATTCGAACCGCTGACCTTCTGATCGGCAAGTCCTAGGCTCTGTGGTTTAACCCACAGCGCCACCCGCGTCCCATCTGTAATAACCTATAGAAGGGGAAAATGGGGGGAATGAAGGACAGAAGGCCCTGCCACCTTTTGGAAGCTCAGATCCTTCCAGCTGAACTCCAAAACCCATATCCGTTTTTACACCTTTTCCAGATATGACAGTTCCAGGCAACACTAATAATAATAATAACAATAGCAACAACAATAATAAAATTTATTATTTATACCTCACCCATCTGGCTGGGTTTTCCCAGCCACTCTGGGCAGCTCCAAAAAGAATAAAAAAGCGACAACATATCAAACATAAAAAAACTTCCCTAAACAGGGCTGACTTTTGATGTCTTCTAAAAGTTGTGTAGTTCTTTATCTCCTTGACATCTGCTGGGAGGGTAGGTGTTACCACCGAGAAGGCTCTCTGCCTGGTTCCCTGTTACCTCACTTCTCGCAATGACGGAACCACCAGAAGGCCCTCAGAGCTGGACTTCAGTGTCCTGGCAGAACGATGGGGTTGGAGACGCTCCTTCAGGTATACTGGGCCAAGGCCGTTTAGGGCTTTCAAGGTCAGCACGAACACTTTGAATTGTGCTCGGAAATGTACTGGGAGCCAATGTACCATATTTTTTGTTCCATAAGATGCACCTGACCATAAGACACACCTAGTTTTTAGAGGGGGAAAGCAAGGAAAAATATATTCTGCGCAGAGCATGTAAGCGGCTCTTGCTTTTCTTGCTTTAAACCCTTCCGTCCCTCCTCCTGCTTCGCTGAGAAGCCAGCAGAGCAAGCTGTGCAGCTCTCGCTGAAGCCAGCAGAGCAAGAGCGATAGCTGCACAGCGCTTCTTCTGCTGGCTTCCCTGCAAAGCGGAATGAGGAACGAAAGGGAGCCCTTACAAGGGAGCGCTGAGCAGAGCCTGGCAGCGGCTCTTGTTGGCTTTTTCGGGAGGTGTGGGAAGGGACAGAGGGCAGCCCGTCAGTCCCTTCCCCCACCTCCCGGAAAGGCCCGCAGGAGCCTCGCTCCTTTTAAAGAGCTGTGCGGAGCGTGTGTGCGGCTCTTGGGGGCTTTTCCCCGAGAAGGGAGAAGGGACTGATGGGCTGCCCTTCTCCCTCCTCGGGGAAAAACCCCCAAGAGCCGCACACACGCTCCACGCGGCTTGTGAAAGGGAGCACTGAGCAGAGCCTCCCGCCTGCGTTCGCTCCATAAGATGCACACACATTTCCCCTTACTTTTTAGGAGGGAAAAGGTGCGTCTTATGGAGCGAAAAATACGGTAAGTCTTTCAGGACCGGTGTTATATGAGTCTCGGCTTACCCATCCAAACCTCTCCAAACTGGCCTGCTCCCAGCTTCTTGACAAGTTTCAGTGTTTCCCGAGGAATCTCCCATTCGTCGGTGGTCCACGGCCTTTGTGGAACCAGAGAGATGCACGGCTGCCGTAGAAGTTGACACAAGCCATCTTCGTAAGCTGTGCAGGGGCACCGGAAGCAGAAGAAAAAGGTCTGAGATCAGGTCAGGGCAGAACATGGTTGTAGTAATCCTATTCCTCCTCCTACATAGTTTATTTCATTTTTATTTTTTTACAACAGGTATTGAGTACAAACTCCCCATTTCCCTCCATGTCTTCCCATCTCCAGATATTACAGTGTTTTGTCCCGTTTTCCTCGCTTAGAACACCTGCTATTTTCGGGTGGGATTCAATGAGATCCTTCTAAATTTAGGTAGCACAGGGAAAGATGGTTTGCTGCTCTCACACAACAAACTTGCTTCCTCAAAACATCGGACTTTTCGGGATAAAGAACTTTAATGGAGAAAAATGCATCGGTGGACAGTGTGCATTGATTCTTGAGTTGATGCAAAGTTGCCTAAACTCCCCAGGAAAACAAATCAGGAAGGATGCTCAATAGAGAGTGTTGCCTGGAAATGGCCTTAGTTCAAAATGTTTGTCCACAGTTCAAGTTTGATAGAAAATGAGAAAAAGAAAAAGTAGAGAGAGGAAGAAAGAGAAAGGTGAAAGATGAGGGAGGGAGGGAGGGAGAGAGAGAGAGAGAACATAAGGGGGGAAATGAAAAGACAAATCGGGAATATGATATAGTCTTCATATAGTATGCCAAATTGTTTGAAATTTGCCCTCATTTAGTGGTCGAATCTTCAGTTCTCAGCGTTCCTGCAGCACTTTGCAGATCTTTTTTTTTAAAAAAAAACCCTTCTGAAAATTCATTAGCACTCTAGTTCTGGTTTCTCCTAATAAAGACATGTTTGTATGCAGTTTTGACCAATGTACACATTTCCCCATGTTTGCGTGCTGTTTTCATGAATATATTCATTTTTCAAAGGCACACTTGGTTGGAGAACTGGACTGCAAAATTTGCATGTGTACGAATTTCAAAGGATGGGTATGTTTCGGCTCTCACATTGATTCCGAAACTGTGAATTAGGTACGCTTGACTTTCTCTGTGAACCGAATCGAATTCCTCTCCCATCCCAACTTAAGGGTGACTTACAAGAATAATGTTTGACAAGGTCCTGCAGCGTAGGGAATGTGGTCCTTGGGCAGATGTAATATCCCCCATGGTCCAGAGAGCGGATTTGATAATGTTTGATGACATCCCCTTGAGATGTGTAGTCCCTGATGGAAAGGGAAAAGGCGCCTGGAAAAGGAGACACAAAAATAGGTATTATCATTTTCCTGGTGGTCCTGGATTCGAACTCGCATCAGCCCCAGCCAATGTGGAGACAATAAGAGCTGTAGTCCAGGAACTGCTCCAGTGGGCAGGACCCAAACCAATGGATTCAAATTGATTAAGAAAGGAAATTCCAACTAAATATTAGGAAGGAACCCCCCCCATCCATTTTATTTATTTTTAACTAAAGCAATAATCATAAATGAATAAACAAGAATAAACATGTGCACTCCACAACTGAGACGATTTCATTGTAATGATCCAACCTCCCAAAACTGGTTTGACCCCTTTTCCGTTTTAACAGTACAAACGCTACAAACACTCTCCCATATCTCCTCAAAAATCATTTCTCTTGCATACTCCCTGTCTTACCTTAATGGCACATTTATTAGTTCATCATTCATAGCTATATCCCACACCTCTTTATACCATCCTTCCATTTTATATTCTGCTTGCCCCTTCCGCTTCCTGGCGATAATAATTCTTGCAGCTGTCAATAAATTCGTGAGCAAGTCTTTGTTAGCTCGTGAACAGGAAGAACCTTCTGATGGTAAGAAATCCTGAGTTATGGAACAGACTCCTTCAGAAGGTGGTGGACTCTCCTTCAGTGGAGCTTTCAAAGCAGAGTTTGGAGGGCCGCCTGTCAGGGATTCTTCATCTTTGATCCCTGCATTGTAGGGGGTTGGACTGGATGACCCTATGGGTCCCCTGCCAACTCTACAATTCGATGATTCTATGAATCTCTGGAGGGTCACGTGAGCCCTATGCTTGCCAGCAGCCAATTAACCATATGAAATGTGTGTGTTATTCAGGTATGCTACAACAGCTAAAGAATCCCTGACGGAGTTTTATCATATGTGGTGGACTTGTATTGGGAAATAATTTACAATGAAATGAAAAAAATGTTGAAGATGTTGTTGTTTAGTTGTTTAGTCGTGTCTGACCCTTCGTGGCCCCATGGACCAGAGCACACCAGGCACTCCTGTCTTCCACTGCCTCCCGCAGTTTGGTCAAACTCATGCTGGTAGCTTTGAGGACACTGTCCCACCATCTTGTCCTGTGTCGTCCCCTTCTCCTTGTGCCCTCCATCTTTCCCAACATCAGGGTCTTTACCAGGGAGTCTTCTCTTCTCATGAGGTGGCCAAAGTATTGGAGTCTCAGCTTCAGGATCTGTCCTTCCAGTGAGCACTCAGGGCTGATTTCCTTAAGAATGGATAGGTTTGATCTTCTTGCAGTCCATGGGACTCTCAAGAGTGTCCTCCAGCACCAGAATTCAAAAGCACAAATTCTTTGGCAATCAGCCTTCTTTATGGTCCAGCTCTCACTTCCATACATCACTACTGGGAAAAGCATAGCTTTAACTATACGGACCTTTGTTGGCAAGGTGTTGTCTCTGCTTTTTAAGATGCTGTCTAGGTTTGTCATTGCTTTTCTTTTGTTAAAAGACCAGGAGCTATTTTGCTTGGCATTACAGGTCAAGACTTGCCAAAAGAGTGGAAAAAACAATTCATGTACGTTACAACAGCGGTTAGGATATTACTAGCCCCAAAATGGAAAGACGACAAGATACCAACGAAAGAAGAATGGCAAGCAAAACTGATGGACTATGCCGAAATGGCAAAGCTTATGGGAAAACTGAGAGACAAGGACAATAAAGATTTCAAAAAAGACTGGGAACCGTTTATGATGTACTTACAGAAATATTGTAAAGAAGTAGACTCACTAGCAGGGTTTGAGTAAATGCTTACAATTAAGGAAAAAAGTGTATAAGTCAAGGAGCAGTAATTGAGGAAAGAATAAAATATAAGATGTAATTTGGGAAGATACGGTATAAAAATAATAAGAATATAAGAATATTTAGTTGAAAGATTTTAAAATCAAGGTAAATAAAATAAGCAGAAGTAATAAATACTTAAAAAACCAGAAGAGGAGGTTGGGGGAAGTCAATGGAAGGGAGGTGGGGGGAAATCTGGATTTATGAATTTTTATTGTGTTTATGATGATTGTGTTGAATATAAAATTGTAAAACCTAATAAAGCTTTTTTTCTTTTTCTTTTAAAAACACAACCATATGAAATGTGTTGCACGTGGTTCCATGTTAACAAGTCACATGCTGAGATTCCAGCATTTGCAGGGGGTTGGATTAGATGACCCTTGGGTTACCTTTCAACTCTGTGATTATAAAAACCATCTAGCACCAGAAGTCATGGGAAATGTCATGAGATTTCTGCTAACTCTGATCTGGGTCTGTTCAAATACGCAACTATCTGCTGACTGAATGCAACTCAAAAGTTTTCACTATGGGCAAAGGATGGGCTGCTAGAATCTGAGGTAGCCTCCAACCCAGAAAGACTGTTGTGGAGCTGCAAAAGTTTCAGTAAAGGAAGAAGAAGAAGAAGAGTTTGGATTTGATATCCCGCCTTTCACTCCCTTTAAGGAGTCTCAAAGCGGCTAACATTCTCCTTTCACTTCCTCCCCCACAACAAACACTCTGTGAGGTGAGTGGGGCTGAGAGACTTCAAAGAAGTGTGACTGGCCCAAGGTCACCCAGCAGCTGCATGTGGAGGAGCAGAGACGCAAACCCGGTTCCCCAGATTACGAGACTACCGCTCTTAACCACTACACCACACTGGCTCTCCGTAAAGGGCAAGCAGAATGATCAAGGGAATGGGGCGACTCCTCTATGAGGAAAAGTCAAAACATGCAAGAGATGCAGAAATGGAACAAATCCCATGAGGTTTATTTGCACGTTCATAAAACTCCCCGAGACATTGTCAAATGCCTTTTCTGCATCCACCAGCATCAAAGCAGCTGGTTTATTTCCCAAATACTCCAGTATATTAATGATGTTTCTGATATTGCTGGAACAGCGAGAGAACTTTTCCATCGTCATTCTGCAAAATACATTCCCAGATTCTTACCTGGATTAGTTTCGCTTTCCCTGATCAGAAATGACCCCATCACATTGCCAGGTGCCAGCAAGAGGCGTTCGGTCTCTTTTCTGCTCATGCCTTTAAAAAACCACCTAGAAAGAGAGATTTATTATCATTATTAAACAACAGCAAGAGCAGAAATCACCACTAAGAACTGAAGGTCCAGCTTTTGCCTTTTAGTTAGAGACTTCCTGTTCCTATGGCATTCCTGAATCAGCCCTTAATTATTCAGTTCCTTTTCTGGGGTGGGAGATCAGTGGTAGGGTTTTAATTCCTAATTACCTATTTTTTGTTTTTTGTTTTTTTTCTTTTCTTTTGCAGCCAGAGCAATTGATCACCATTTTTAGCTCAATTGGTAGAACATGAGATTTTAACATCTATGGTACCATAGGGCTCACTTTTTTTCCCCAAGGGAAAGACTGGGAGTCAGAAGACAACAGAGGTGCATAAAAACTGAGTTAGGCTGTGGACACACCATACATCTAAAGCACATGGCTTCCCCCAAAGAATCATGGGAACTGTAGTTTACATATCACTGAACTTCAATTCCCAGCATCCAAAAAACCCTACTTTTCCTGGGATTCTTGAGGGTTTGTGTGCTTTAAATGTACTGTGTTTATGCATCCTTAGAGGACTAACTTGCACAGGGAGGCAGATAATATGTAGAGGAACAAGGAATTGGAACCCCATGACATACCAAATCGGGCCACAATTTTTTTAAAAAACCCCAAAGCAAAACCCTGGCCTTGATGATTGCAATCTTTTCACTGCAGATCTTCACATGTCTCAAAATATCAGTTGGTATCAGCCCCAAGTTGGTAATGTTAGATCACAGATTCTGTGCCCCCAAACCCAAAGAGGCTTCCTTACTTTTCTTCTTCCAGGCTGTTTACACGGGCCACAAAATTGCTGGGTATGTAGCCTTTGTGCCCTGTGGTAAGAGATTTTGCTAGCCACCAGTCCCCGTCGCTGTGAAAATAAAGCACCGTATAAATAAACAATGTACATTGAAAGAAGCAGTGATTTTACTAGGGATGGACTCATCTCTTTTGGTTTCTCTCTGGTTCTCTCTTTTTCCAGTCGTCAGTTGAGTCCCCCACATTTCCACATCAGTTAAAACAACAACAACAAAACGGTGAGCCTTCACAAGCAATTTTTCCTAATATCAATTTTTATGAATAAATGCACTTTTTTGCCAACACACCAGAAAAAAGACTAGAGACAAACAGTATTATTACAAATTTGGGGGATCAATCTGGATGATGCCTTGAGTGCCTCCCAATTTTGTGGGTAAAATGTATAAGAGCAAGCTTGTCAAACTAGTCCCTTTTTCTAGGTGATGGTTTTGGCTGACTAGGTGAGCACTTATGGGTGCTTAACTAGTTTCTACGGGGAGCTGGCGCCAGGTACCAGGCCTGTTGACAGACCAGCTCTGTGTTACAAAGATGTCTGCAGACGTGACATGAAGGCTAGCAACAGGAACCCCTCCGTGTGGGAATCCCTTGCAGATGACCACAGAGGTGCTTCACAACATAAACATTGAAAATGGGAACACAAAATATGTAACAAAACCAAAACAAAAAACCTCTAATAACCCCCTCTCCCATGAACACATTTAAAAAGGCCAAAGGATGTTAATCAGCCCAAGCTTTGGTGATAGGGAAACATTTTTGTCTGGTGCCTTAATATAAGTAATGAAGGCACCAGGGGAGTCTCCCTGGGGAGAGCATTCCACAAATGGGGAGCCAGTGCAGAAAAGGCCCTGTTCTTGTGTTGCCACTCTCCAGACCTCTCAGGGAAGAGGCACACGAAGGAGGGCCTCAGAATATGATCTCAGAGTCTGGGTAGGTTCATATGGAAAGAGGCGGTCCTTGAGATATTGTGGTCCTGGTCTGGGACTCCTGGACAGTTAAGTCCAGTCAAAGGCGACTATGGGGTGTGGTGCTCATCTCACTTCAGGCTGAGGGAGCCGGTGTTTATCCACAGACAGCTTTCCAGGTCATGTGGCCAGCAGGACTAAACCGCTTCTGGTGTGATGGAAACCAGAGCGCACGGAAATGCCGTTTATTTTCCCACCGCAGAGGTACCTATTTATCTATTCACGCTGGTATGCTTTTGAACTGCTAGGTTGGCAGGAGCTGGGACAGAGCAACAGGAGCTCACTACCATCAAGCACATTCGAACTGCTGACCTTCCAGTTGGCAAGCCCAAGAGGCTCAGTGGTTTGGACCACAGCGCCATCAGCATCCTGTATGTAGGTAGGTAGGTATGTATATGAATACTCATTTGGATTGTAAAACTGTATCACAACAGGCAAATGGGCCCAGATATTTTTTACATGAGGATGCTCTATATTTCGGGTTGATTTTTATACAGTGGGTTGCGAACATGATCCATGTGGGAAGCACATTCGCAACCCGCAGTGTCCGCAACCTGCATCGCTTCGTCTGCACACATGAGGGTCACGATGCAGTGCTTCTGCGCATGCGCAAAGTGCGATTTAGCATTTCTGCGCATGCCCAAGCACTGAAACCTGGAAGTAACCCTTTCCGGTACTTCCGGGTTCAGCGTGGTGCGCAACCCGAAATCCACAACCCGAAGCGTCTGTAACCCGAGGTATGACAGTACATTTATAGCAAAAGGCATACCAGAGCATGACTGAACTGTTTGAAACATGCAAAAGCTCACTCACCTGCAAAGGACTTCAAACTTCTCTCCTACGGTCAATGGCAGATCGCGGTCACTCAGCATAGTGAAATGGTACTGTGCTATGACAATGTGCTTATCTGTATTGTGAAAAAAAGCAAAAGTATTAACTGAGCCCAAGACCTAGAAGCTAGAAGTATCAACTACATGGAATAGGGTCAACCATCCCCACTCCTTGTTCAGCAAAAGTAAAGAAGAGGCTGGATTTAAGTTTAATGCAGCTTCTGTACCTTTAGTTAATACCTTCCTGTTCACATATATGGTTACAGTATTCCTGAACCAGCCCTTATTTAGCTTGTTACTGTTCCAATGGTGGACAACCTGCTGCCAGAGCAATTTATTATGGTGATTATGATTACAAGATTAAATTAATAAATTGCACTGATTTATTGAGCAATGGGTTTTAGGCTTTTCAAGACTTGAGACTAGCCGCTGACCTTGAGACAGAAAACCCAGGCATTGCTCTAAAAAACAGCCATATTGCAACCTCATGGAGAGGAAATATACAATCATAGAATTGAAGGGACCACAAGGGTCATCTAGTCCAACCTCCTGCAATGCAGGAATCGTGACTAACGAACCCCCGACAGATGGGCAGCCAACTTCTGTTGAAAAACTTCCAATAAAGGAGAGTCTAATACCAGCAGCAGTTGTAAGGAAGTCTGCCCTTGAAGTTGACCCAGAAACTCCAGCGGGTGGAGAATGCCGTGGGGACGCTCCTTACGGGGTCCTTGCCACGGGATCACATTCATCCAGTGCTTTACCAGCTGCACTGGCTCCCGGTGGAGTACAGGGTCAGGTTTACGGTGCTGGTTATGACCTTTAAAGCCCTATGCGGCCTAGGACCCACGTACCTACGACACTGCCTCTCCTGGTATGCCCCGAGGAGGACCTTAAGGTCCACAAATGACCACACTTTGGAGGTCCCAAGTTGCAAGGTGGTTAGATTGGTCTCAACTAGGGCCAGGGCCTTTTCAGTACTGGCCCCAACCTGGTGGAACGCTCTGTCACAAGAGACTAGGGCCTTGCAGGACTTGACATCTTTCCACAGGGCCTGCAAGACAGAGCTGTTCCACTTGGCCTTTGGTTTGGACTCAGTCTGACCCTTATGTTTTCCTCCCCTTATGGTTTTGATCTATGGGCTACTTTTAAAATAGGGCTGCATTTTAAATTGCATTTTAACCTGTATTTTAAATTGGGTTTTTCCCCTATTATGTTTTTACTGTAATTTTGCTGGTGTTAGCCGCCCTGAGCACAGCTCTGGCCGGGGAGGGTGGGGTATAAATTATAAATTATTATTATTGTTGTTGTTGTTGTTTATTTATACCCTGCCTATCTGGTTGGGTTTCTCCAGCCACTCTGGGAGGTTACAGCACATAAGAAACTGTAAAACATTAGACATCAATGGCGCACAGATAAAGTCAGCAAAATTTAAAAACAAGTATTAAATTATGTAAATGGGCAGGCTTCTTGAAATATTTTGTAGGTGTGTAGGGAAAGAGTAGCTCTCTCAGATATTTGAGGCCTGTCAACATCATCATCATCATCATCAACAACAACAACAACAATTTTACCCCTCCCATCTGGCTGGGTTGCCCCAGTGAGACAAAATATAAAAACGCAGGGAGTTCTTTGTTTTTTGACATCACACATTAAAAACTTCCCTATACAGGGCTGCCTTCAGATGTCTTCTAAAAGCTGTGTAGTTCTTTATCTCCTTGACATCTTAAACACTAATGTGAGCAGCTTGAATACATTCAGGCAGGTCTTCAGCAGATACGCCAACACCCGTCCTGTGAAAGGGAGAAGACCTTTCATGGCGCGAGCCAAAGACCTTCTAAATATAGCCAAGGGTGAGACAGATAGATTTAAATCTCACTCGGCCTGACCTTTTCGAAGAAAGCCGCTCACAACCTTCCCCCTTTGCAAGGTCACGTGTGAGACTCAGGAACAATGCATGGTTTTGTGAGGGCCGAGTCCAGTGAATACCCCAATTTGCATTTATTGGTGAAGTCGTTCCAAGAAAAGGCCAGGAGCTCATTTTGCAAGCCAAGAGCTTTGGCGGGGGGGGGCGGGGCGGGGGGGGGCTGCTCTAAGTAAACACTTGCATGCTGGATTTTCACTAGTGCTGAATTGCATGTTTGCAGCTGGCAAAAAAATGCATAGTTCTATTTTGCAGGCTCAGAAATGGAAAGATAGTCAAACCTTCATTCCAACGGCTCATCGCAATGACCGCTCCCCACATTAAATGGGGGGCACCCTTTGCGTGGTCGCGCACAGCGCCCTGGACCCTATGCGGCACCATTAGCACAGGTTTGGCTTCGCCTTCCCCAGGTGGGATACCTGGAGGTCTCCGCCTACCTCAGCCAGTTGCCCAATC